TGGGTGAAATAAGCAAAGAGGATTGAGAGTACACTTATCCTGATGAGGACTGAGTAACAGAATTGCTGAATCACCACAATGTGTACCTGAAACCAATATAACACTGTAGATTGACTATACTGGAATTAAAATGTAAAAAGGAAATGAAAAGGCAACTCAGAATGAGAGAAAATATTTGTATACCCTATATTTAATAAGGGACTTACATCCAAAATAATGAAAGACTTCTAACTCAATAATAAAGAAAAGCTGATTAAAATTTGGGTAGAGAATCTGCACAGACATTTCCCCCAAAATATACCAATGGCCAATCAATACATGAAAAGATATTCAACATCTGGGAAATGCAAATCAAAACAATGAGATACCTGGGTGCCTGGGTGGCTCAGTTAAGGATTAACTTAGTCAGTCAGTCAGTTAACTCAGTCAGTGAAGGATCTGCCTTCGGCTCAGGTCATGATCCCAGGGTCCTGGAATTGAGCCCCAAGTTGGGCACCCTGCTCAGCAAGGAGCCTGCTTTTCCCTCTCCTTCTGCCTTTCCTCCCCATTCCTGAGCTCTCTCTCTCTCTCTCAAATAAATAAATAAAATCTTTAAAAAACAGAAACAAAACCAAAAACAATGACATACTACTTACCAGGGAAATTCCAAAATTCCTCTGAAAGAGAAAATTTGATAGAGAAATAAAGGAGCACAAGAACAAGGCATATATAAGCCAGAAATAAACTCATGTGTGTGTGCGAAGTTAGTATGTGATAGAGTTGACACTGTCAATTAGCAAACACTGATGTTGCTCAGTGTATTATTTGGCAGCAAGTAGCTATCTATCTATTTGAAGAAAATCAAACTGGATCTATACATGACACATGATAAATTCTAAATAAAAGTGAAAAAGTAATCATAAAAAAAACTATAAATAAAACAGAAGAATATATATCGTAATATCTTGGTTATTATTAAGACAATATTTTAAGTAAGAACTAGTATTCAGGTTTATTATTAAGCAAGATACAAATCCCAATAAACAGAAAAGGGAAGAGTTGACAAATCCAAGTAAATTAAAAATTTAAAAATTTTTAATATAATAAATCACCATAAAACTAAGAGGCAAACAGAATAGGAAAAAAGTTCTGTAACTTTTTTAGCAAAGAATTAATTTCTAGAAAACCTAAAGAACTCCTATAAAGCAAGAAGAGCCACAGGTATAAAATAAAGTAAAAAGCAAGCACAAGACAGAAGCAGAAACTACAGAGAAACACAAATACTAATGCCACCCACCACATAAATCTAAAATATATATACAATCTCAGAAATAATTCAGAGAGCATTTTTTCCCACTAGAGCAACAAGTATTTAAATGTGTGTTAAAACTCAGTATAGCAAGGTTACAGGGAAAGGAGTATTCCTAAACACCAATGGAAGAATAATATAAATTATTACAGCCTCATGAACGGCACCACACATTAATTTTAAAATGCATAAATCCCTTAGCCAAGCAATTCCACTTATAGGTTATCTATTCTAGAGAAATAGTTTCAGATGTACATAAAGAGTTACAACACTCAATATGTTCACTACCATTCTGTCTTAATACATAAGAACTGACACCTCAGTGCTTATCATTACAGGGAAAATTAACCGAGTTAGGGAGAATTTGTGATATTCAATAGTTTAAGAATGGGATATGTAAGTAGAGTGATATTATAAGTTCCACTGCTACTGTAAAAAAAAAAAAATAAAGCTTCATAATATATGCACCACAATAAGACTTACATTTAAAAATTGAAGATTTATGGCCATGTTCAGAAATAAGGAAGGAAGGCTATCTACCTAGTGGTTATGGATTTTATCCCTAAGAAGGAGAGGTTGGCATGGGATACTTTATTTTTATCCTATATACCTCTATATTATTTGAGTATTTACAATGATAATATTACATGATCATCTAAACTTAATAAACAAATAACTGGAATTACATGTTGAAAATCTGTACTTACAGAGCCACCCAGAAGCCCAGCATTCAGAGTACCAAACATTCACCTTGTTGGTGAATTTGAATTTTTGGTGCACTTTCTTCCATTTTATGATCATAAATTTCATAGCCAATACCTTTTTATATCTGAAATTTTATGTTCTTTCAAAAGTTAACACTATTTCACGAGAATGTTCCCTTATTTAAAAAACAAACAAACAAAAACTCTTCCTCGTCCATTGACTAAGACAATATATTCACCTTGGGTATCAGAAAAGCATTTCCTTTGTCTTTTTGTGGTTCATGTGACAATTATCCTTGAATCTTAGTCCATACATGTGATAAAGATGGTCAGTGGAAAGTTAAGTGGAAAGCTAAGTGTGGTCACTGGAGTTCAAGTGTTTGCTTTTCCTTAACCTAGACAGAGGAACTTCAAGAACAACATAAACCACTTCTGCCTCTTTAGAATCAAGCAAATAAGGAAGACAGTATAGAATTTGGTAAGAGCTCAATAAACAGCTATTTTTATTTTTTTTAAAGGTTTTATTTATTTATTTGACAGAGAGAGAGAGATCACAAGTAGGCAGAGAGAGAGGGGGAATCAGGCTCCCCACTGAGCAGAGAGCCCAATGCGGGGCTCTATCCCAGGACCCTGAGATCATGACCTAAGCCGAAGGCAAAGGCCTAACCCACTGAGCCATCCAGGTGTCCCAATAAACAGTTCTTTTAAAAATTACACTCTATTTCAATGAGAAAAGTACCTAGTGGCAACTTCTATATTTGTTAAGTTTAGAAATAAATACCAAGTCGATCACACCAATACACCTGTACTTAATGCCATTGAACTGTATACTTAAAAAAATGGTAAAATGGTAAATTTTGTTATGTATATTTTACCACAATACAAAAAGCTTAAAAGCTATACTGATTAGTAGAGCCTATAATAAAAACTCATTACTTGATATTGGATTGAAGCAGGTTATCAGAAATTCTAGATCGAGGCCAATCCAGTAAGTTAGCCATAAAGTATTGATCTGTGTGTTATAAAATAAGCTCTCTAGGGGCACCTGGGTGGCTCAGCTGGTTAAGTTTGACTTCAGCTCAGATCTTGGTCTCAGGGTCCTGGGATGGAGCCCAATGTTGGGTTCTGCACTCAGTGGGGAGTCTGTTCTCCTCTTCCCACTCTTCTGCATGTTCTCGTGCTCTCTCTCAATCTTAAATAAGAAAATAAAATCTTTTTTAAAAACCTATTCTATTTAAAAATTCATTTTCACCTCTCTTAGAATCTAGGGTTTCAAAATTACTGAACAGTTTTCTGCTTAATTTCTTACATGTAGATCACCAAAGGTTTATTCTGAATGTAAGAGTAAAAAGAATAAATACAGCTTATTTCACTAACACAAAATTCATGAGTAAGAAGTTAGTGCAGCTTATGTTTGAGATATTTACTCATGAGACCCTAAATTATCCTCTGAAATGCTACTATTTAAAATTTAAATCTCGGGATGTCTGGGTGGCTCAGTTAAGCATCTGACTTCAGCTCAGGTCATGATCCCAGGCTCCTTGCTCATTGGCTAGCCTGCTTCTCTCTCTGCTTGCCACTCTCCCTGCTTTTGCTCACTCTCTCTGACAAATAAATAAAATCTTTAAAAAATTTTTTTTTAAAATGTAAATCTCTAAGTTACAATGGGAATAGTTATTAAGGTAGAACTTCTTGGGGCACTTTTGTGGCTCAGTCGGCTAAGCATCTGACTCTTGATTTCAGCTCAGTTCATGATCTCATGGATCCTGAGATCCAGCCCCGGGGAAGGCTCTGTGCTGAGCGGGGAGACTACTTGAAGATTCTTTCCCTCCACCCCTCCCCGCCCTTGTGTGCACATGTGCTCACATGCGCTCTCCTCTCTTCTCTCTCTCTCTCAAATAAACGTTTTGTTTTTTTTTAAACATAGAACTTCCTGCCATAGGTTATGAATGTCCTGGAACCCTGGACTACCATGATCTAAGCCAGAGTTTATACTGAACAGTTATTCTGAGGACTGTAATATTTGTAGTTCTCGGTTGATGAATGAGTCTATAGGTTAACTGACTGTATAAGCAGATACACTACTTTAAAAATTGCTGAGAATTTATGAGAGCTTTTAAAGTGTAAGTATATTCTTTCTCTATCCTTATAACTAGAAGAAATATGTTTGATAACAGTGGGGATTAATAGGTTAATAGGAGAGTTAAAAGAAAAGTCCCTGGATTTCAAAATCATGTTTCACATATCAACAATTGAAGACCTTTAAGGAATAAAAAGGAAAAGAAAATATAAAGTTTTACAAAAATTCTTGTGGCCAGTGTTATAGCACCCGCCAAAGAGAGTTCATTTATTCCTAAAGTCTAGTTTATTCCTAGGAAACAAATGTAGCAAAGGTTACGTTTTTCTGTCACTGACAAACTGAGCTTGTATTTTTCTATCTATTAACAATAATTTATCACTTTAATAAATTATGCAATATATTGTACTCCTTCCATTTCTGCTAATCAATACTTCAGATTAAAAAAAATTTTTTTAAAGATTTTATTTGAGAGAGAGAGAGAGAGAGAGAGCGAGCGAGCATGAAAGAGGTGAGGGGCAGAGGGAGAAGCCGGCTCCCTGATGAGCAGAGGGCCTGATGTGGGACTTGATCCTGGGAGTCCAGGATCATGACCTGAGCCGAAGGCAGTTGCTTAACCAGCTGAGCCACCCAGATGCCCCAGATTAACATGTTTAAATGTCCTTTTTAGTGAAAGTAATACTTATTTCCAGAATTCTAAATAAATTTGTTGGAAATATTGTAAATTATGGTTTTCGTGAAAAGGCACATGTGCCGTCTTCAAAACTGGGATGAAAAACAAGGTCAAAATTCCCAATAGCAAGATAGAACTCCTCCAACATAAATTGGCTGACTTTTCAGTCTGAAACATGATTCTACAACCCAAGTGATTTCAGGCAGTAATAAAGAAAAAGTGGTATGTAATATTAAAAGCAAAACTCCACTAACTTACTGAAAGCAATTTGGCCCAAATACAGTGGCGAGATTGTGAACATTCATGCGGTTCTGCACATGGTGCTTGGCTACTTTTGTCAAGAACTGGCATAGGTACTTGAGGAGGCAGTAGTGGGTGTCAGGCAGCTCTTTTATTAAGTCTCTTAAGCTACTCTCCTGAGCATCATTTCTGTCATCTGGAAAGAAAAAGAATAAAAAACGCTCTCAGGCATACTGCACAGTAACAACAACAAAAGCACAGAGGCATCATAAGGTCTAATATTTTATTCAGGAAAAATTCCTAAAGGCTTAAATAAGCCCTTGAGAAAAAAAAGGGGGCAGTTTTACCTTTTCTTTGATATTTCAGCATTGAACTTATTTTAATGTTAAAGATTTACTAACTCATTCAAGACACCCTCAAAATTAAAGCTTTACTAGTGCATAAAATGGGTTCGTATTTCACTTCTGTGTGTCCTTACCCAAAATTAAGATATAGGTTGGCTTTTTATCCATAGTGGAACCTCCCATTTGATTACGGTCTTCAAGCTCGTTAAAAACAAGAATCTCTTAGTTGAATAAAATTTAATACAAGAGACATTCCTTGGTCACCATGAACAAGACTAAACTTAATCATCAGGAAATCTGTAGCTAGAGGAAACTAAAGGAAACTTTTAATCCCTACATAACTTTTTATCTCTCCCATGTCAGAGTTTAAAATTTAATATGTGCTTCTCATACAAACACCAAAAATATCTCACAGTGAGCCAAAATTCAGACAGACATATGAAGAGTTTCCTTCCATTCTCAAAGACTTGGGTGTTTTGTCAATATCTAAATACAGAAAAGTTATTTTAAAAAATTGTATACTACCTTCTCTCAGAGGCAAACATAAATATTTTATAGCAAATACTTTAGGGGAATATCACAACCCATCCTTTTAGGCACATGTCTAAGGCAATGAGAACTTAATCCAGTTACTACTAATATACATTGGATTCCTTAACTTAGGGCGGTTGCTTTAGCCAGTCAAAAGAATAAGAAACAGCAAAGAGAGGCAAATGTGATACAAAGGAAGTGGATTAGTCAGTGTTACAAAATTTATACATAACATGAGGCCATTAGAGGAAGTGAAAATCCAGAAAACATTCAGAAACTCACAGAAAGTGCTGCTAAGTGGCCAGAGAGCAAGGATCAGGAAGGTGGGTTCAGGAGTCACTTTCTGGGTTAGGATCTGGGTTCTGTCACCTGACACCTGGGTGACCTTAGACTTTAAACCTTTCCTCATTTATAAATGGGAATATTAACTACCTCATGGGGTTGTGATGAGGATTAAGAGTTTCAATTTACAAAGTACCCAAACCAGAGAGGTTGCCACATGGTAAGTGCTATGTAACTACTTGTTAGACAGAGTAACTTCTTTTACTTTACCTTCATTAATTTGGTTTTATGAGAGCACTGAGGTATTAATGAAATGTCTTTTAATATGAATCCATTTCACCTTTATGAATGTTAGAATAAGGGATGCTGCCAAAAGTACCAATGCCAAAAACGTACAGACTTCAATCTTTGTTAAAATCGTTTTAGAGAACATTCTATTTATGGTTGGAGTAACTATTTCTCACTGATCACCAACAATGTGGTCCAATAACCACTACAGGATTTACAGAAAAACAGTTTCTTGATATTAGAAAATTTTCACATTAAATTACTTTTAAAAAAGAAATCATATACAAATACTTCAATAATCCCTAAAAATATGTGGTGTGTTGTTTATGATGGCATTATTTTCCACTGTATTATGATCTTGACTATGTAAGAAATGGAAATAATTAAGTTTGGAGTGATTAAAAATTGAAAACTACCCCTTGCTCATACCTTTATGGTTAGAAATAAATATGAACTAAAAGAAAATGAATTCTATTTTGCCTTTTTAATTTTCTTACAGTGACTAATCCAAAGTGAATCTGGATATTTTCATGGGTACGTACTGTCTGTTTAAAACTATGGTTTAATTCTAGCATTTGAGGATACAGGCAACAGCATTCCTACAGCCTTGATAATGGGCCATTAGTCTTCTGGCTCTGAAATGAAACCTCAAATCCTAAGGCAGGCAATGTGTGAAGACACCAAATTGAATAAAACAAATATTGAAAACAGGAGTTTATAACAATAATATCTTTGAAAGAGAGGGAGAACTTTCATCACTGACTTCCAAGTTTTGAAATATGATAAATAATTTTCCCAGGAAATAAACTGGCAAGTAATAGGAAGGGAGACAGATACAGTCAGAGAATCTCAAACGTAACAAAACAACATAATTCCTTTAGAACATAAATGGAAGAATCACCAAATATCTTCTCAAAAAGAAAAAGCAGCTGAAGAGAAAACATCTTCCATTTCCTACGATGGAAGATAGATTCATTGATTCACTCACTAGGCGAGTATGCAAGTGTCCTCTACCTCAGAGGCTTTAATCGCAACGCACTCACTTTTAACCCTGAATATTCATAATTTACCTCCCGACTCTGTTCAAATATACTGACAGTGCAGTAAAGACCCTGATTTATTAACATAACATTTCTTGTCACCTCTTTTCCTACTAATAATGTGTTAACATACCAAGAATCTGTAATTTGTGTTGTTTCTAGAAATGTGGTAAAAATCGTTGCTACCCCCAGTCTGTAGCAATCTTATAGACAAGATTTCCTATACATGAGATTAATTGCTCAACACCTTTAAAAGAGGCTTCTAGGGGCGCGTGGGTGGCTCAGTTGGTTAAGCGTCTGCCTTCAGCTCAGGTCATGATCTCAGGATTCTGGGATTGAGTCCTGCATCGGGATCCCTGCTTGATGGGGAGTCTGCTTCTCCCAGCCCTCTGTTCTCTTTCTGTCTCTCTCCCTCTCGCTCTCTTCCAATAAACAAAATCTTTTTTAAAAATGTTAAAAAAAAAAAAATAAAGGAGGCTTCTAGAGGAATGCCTAGCACAGCAAGTGGGGGTAGGGGGTGGTTGGAAAGGAAGCAGTATTGGTGTAAATGTGCCTTTTGATGCCTCAGAGCAAAAGCTTATAATAATTACTTTATTATTGCTTGCATTGTTTTTTGATTTACTGATACCTAAATATAATAAACATCACTTGCCATTTGTGCTCTTGCATCAATATTGGTAATTACAATACCTCCAAGGTCTCACATTATTAAAAAAGCAAGCAAGGCTTCTATTTCTGTGAACATTTATTCATTATACTTAGGCTGTGTGTAATACTTATCACATGCTTTCTGTGTGTCTGGCATTCTCTAGGGATATAGCACTGAAAACAAACTTCATGCTTTTATAAAAGTTATAATATGATGGGGGAGACAAATAGTAGTCTAATAATATAAATGTGAGTGGAAATGTAAATGCTCTGAAGAAATTAAGGCAGGATTAGTAGGAAAAAAAGCAGAGTGATGTAGGGGTGGGAATGTTATTTCATTCAGCATGAGCTGGGAAGGCCACTCTGACATGGTGACAATCAAGCAGAGAGCTGAAGGAAAGGGAGAATGCTTAGCACATGCTAACGTGCTACTAATCAGTAGAAATGGCAAGGGCCAAGGCCAAGTGTTGGGAGAGTGGAAAGAAGTGAAATCAGGAGACAGTTCAGGAAAGACCCAGGGAAGATCATTACAGTCTTATTATAAACCATGTTCCCACCCCCTCAAACCTCAGTGAGGGCTTTGAGCTGTGAGATTGGACTTAAAAGGACCACTCTGGTTGCTGTGTTGAGTCTGGACTGTGAGGGGCACAGGGGAAAGCAGGCTGCCGAGCTGGGAGAGGATAGTCCTAGAGAGAGAGGCTGCTTGGTTCCTGGAGCAGGTAGATAGCAGTGAGATGGTAAGCCAAGGGCCATTCTGCATATAGTTCATATCTTGTTTGCTTTACATATGGAAGTTGTTTGTTTTACATATGAAAAATGCAAGCATGGAATACACATTCAGTCATTCAGCAAATATTTACTGAGTGGCTCTTCTGTGCCTGGCACAATTCTAAGCATTTGGGATACATCAGAAAACACAAACAGAAATCCCTGCTCTCAGGGAACTTAGATTCTAGTAGGTGCCACCTTAAGTGATAAATATAGTAATAGGTCTGGAGGGAAGTCAAAGTACAGGTTGGGGGGTGCCTGGGTGGCTCAGTGGGTTAAAGCCTCTGCCTTCAGCTCAGGTCATGATCCCAGGGTCCTGGGATCGAGCCCCGCATCGGGCTCTCTGCTCAGCAGGGAGCCTGCTTCCTCCTCTCTCTCTCCGCCTGCCTCTCTGCCTACTTGTGATATCTCTCTCTGTCAAATAAATAAATAAAATCTTAAAAAAAAAAAAAGTACAGGTTGGAGTGAGGGTGGTTATTACAATATAAATAAGATTGTCAGCAAGGCAATATAAACACTGAATATTGAGAAAATATTCAGTGTTTACTGGCAGTTTAACAACAACAACAAAAATCCACAAACCAGCAAATGTAAGCTCCTTCAGAGTTGGTTGGAGGCTGAGGTTTAAAGGGGTTTTAAATTCCTTCAATGCCTTACATATAAAAAGTGATAAATAGTTTTGATGGCCTGATACACACTTTTAAGATACACAGATAGTTACACAAACTAGCATACAAATAAAGAGACATCTGTATTCCAAATATATCTTGAAGAACGAATAATTTAATCCATTTACACAAATAGCAGAGCTGAAGCGTTAAGTAGGAAGGGGATCACAGAGTATTCAAACGATAACAGAAGTGTCATTTGGTGGTCAGAGGATAAGGACATTCATCAGTGAAATTCCACAGAAGGGCCTCTGAAACAGAAGTGAAATGCACCTCTGAAGTTGCATTAAAATATTTTAACTGCTGGGGTGCCTGGGTGGCTCAGTTGGTTAAGCGTCTGCCTTCAGCTCAGGTCATGATCCCAGGATCCTGGCATCAAGCCCCTGATCCTGCTCCCTGCTCAGTGGAGAGCCTGCTCCTCCCTCCCACTTTTTGCTCTCTCTTGCTCTCTCTCACTCTCTCTCTCTAATAAATAAAATCTTAAAAAAAAAAATTTGACTGTTTAAACTTATAGTTATTTCTAGAATTGGAATAAAAATTAGAATATAATTTATGAGCCAAAAGGTTTAAGGAAACTTTGCAGATGGAACAATGGTTAATAATTGAAATAGTCATCATTTTCCTTAA